CCTAAACCCTAAACCCAAACATAAAGAAAAAAAAAAAAAAGCGAGGCCGCGGCTCGGCGCACGCCGTGGGAGCTTGGAGCCTCCCCAGGTGCCACAGACTTCGGCTCTTACGTCTGCCGGCTTAGGGTTTTGGGGCTTTAGGGGTTTCTAGGGTTTTTAGGGTTTTTAGGGTTTTTAGGGTTTTAGGGTTTTAGGGTTTTAGGGCTTTATAGTGCTTTAGGGTTTCGGGGTTGAGGGTTTAAGCCTCTTTTTTTTTCAGATTTCGGGCTTAAGGTTTAGAGTTTAGGATTTAGGGCTTAAAGATGTGTTAAGTGTGCGTTTGAAGCCTCTTTGTCACGGCACGGGTCTGTGGGATGAGGGCTTACGGGTTTAGACGTTGACGGTTTAGGGTTTTGGAGGTTTGAGGCTTAGGGGGGGATTTCGGGCTTTATGCTTTTAGGGCTGCCGGGTTTGGGGGCTTTGGGTTCTAAAGGGTTAGTGTAGGATTTTTAGGGCTTAAGCCTTTTAGACTCGGATTTGGTGATGGGAGACAACGGGCGACCCAGGCTGTAGCCGGGGCTCGAAGTACCACGGTCGGAGCTGTGTGCTACTTGCAAAGTCTTCCCATCCAGATAATACTGTTGATGATATAAATCCTGCATTACCTTAAGGACCCTAAACTATGGGAATTAGGGTGCATTCCCTGTTCTGGGTCATGCAGACTTTATGTCATCAACCGTAGGCCGTAGGAATGGGTCTAGCAGCATGCTAGACAGTGTGCCCTACCTGCACTGACACTGCTCCTTGAAGAAAACTCGCTTGTACTTAAATGCACCGACCGAGCCGACGAGTTGTCATGAAAAGCACGTGTGGGAGACGTTTCTTGTCAAGTTGGACACGGTAAGTCACCAGCTGCGCAGCTGCAGAGGAACGGTTAGGCTCTGCAGCCCTGTTCACAGCTGGCTGAAGCAATGCAAACTTGCGATAAATTCGGAGGTCACTTCCCAGCCACATGAGTGGGGATATAGCTCAGCCGCTAGCACTAGGTGTGCCCGCTGTGAGCTCTGGTGCTCGCACCCTAGCGGCTAGAAAGCGCTATGCAAAATTGTAGGTTCCATGCACTGTACACTTATAGGCTGTTGGGTCTGGATGCACCACGACCTGACAGCCACAAGAGACTGAAGAGGTATCTGACACCGACGTGGTGGCGGCGCCAGGTCGAACACCTCCAGTCGCAGAGATTGGCATAATGGCATATCGCAGAGATTCCACTTTAAAGGGAGAACAAGAGAGGAAAGGCTAAGACTCTGCAAAAGTGCTTTTCAATGTTTGGGCCCATCCCTGTCTCGTTCCCAAAGCTGCGGTGGGAATACTCTCTTGACTCTCCAGCTGGAAGACTACACAGCCGCTGCACCTGTGTCTTAACGGCCATGTCGTGGCGGATCTCTCTGGCGCACAGACATGCTCGCAACAACACGGCCTGATATGCTTCATTGTAAAAGGTGGAGGGCTCAGCACCTAAGCCTTACGCCTTACACCTAAATCCTCGACTAATCATGGTGCGCATGCCGAGCTCAGCACAGAAGCGCACCGAGATCTGTTCAGCAAACGCATAGACCTGCCAGACACCGAACTGGGTTGAGCTGTTCTCAGGGTACCAAAGAGTTTCGAGCTTGGGATTCACATGTCCGAACATGCGGAAGCAAGCTCTCAGGGGCTCTGCTTTGAAGAGAGGTGCCTCTGTCTGCGCCCCAACTGTTCGTCAGCAATCCGGCTCTGTCCGAGGTACACCCCAGGTCTGGCAGCACCCCTCCCAACCCTTGAAAGGTATCATATAGAACCCTAAACCCTAATTCTTTGAAGTCTCCTAGGTCTGCAGAAGCCTCGGACATCTCCCCTCACCCCAAACCCCGAAGCCCGGATCCTCGAAAACCCTGAAAACCAGGCCAAAAAACTCAACCGAAAAACCTCCTAAACCTAAACCCTAAACACAAAACTTTAAAATCCTAGAGGCCCTAAAGCCCCAACACCTAACCCGAAACCCCAGGAGGCCCCCGAAGACCCCGGACATGCGGTCTTTTGGCAGAAGCGCCTCCCTCGCCGCAGGGCCACATACCGCTGGGGAGGCGCTGGCAAGCTGCAGCGCAAGCCTAAAGGATTTTTTTGCTCCAGCTGACCAGTTTGGGGCTTACGATTTGGTTTCAGGCTCAGGGTTGCGGGTTTGGTTGAGGGTTTTTGGACTTCGGGGTGGGGGGTTTCAGCTCTTGGCTGCAGTGCCTAGGCCTATACGAACCCTTTCAAACCTTTGACCCTGCGGTTGATGATGTAAATCCTGCATTGCCGTAAGGACGCTAAACTCTGGGAACTGTGGTATATTCCTTATGATGGGCAGTGCAGGATTTATATCATCAACAGTAGTGAACTGAGGCTTGGGATGTAAGGTTTAGAGTGCAGGCTTCACGGAAGCTTCGGATCGAAAGCATCGGGTTCAGAAGGCACTCTTTGCTGACGTTGGCCTCTCCTTCCGAGCTTTGGAGTGGGGGGGGGGGG